TTTAAGAATATCAACTTAGCAATTGTGTAGAGGCTAGATTGGAAAGAGAAGAGGCTGGGTGCAGAGAAGTAAATCTATGAAATTTTAAGACCAGTCCATTTCAAAATCTATTCTTTGCTATTCTCCTTTGTTGCCATCTTGTGTACTTATGCTTTACACCCACATTTTCCTCTTTAGACAACTTCCCTTTCCCATCCTCATTAGAATCCTTTCTGTTTGTGTCTTCAGAATCTCATTCATCAGTGGTTTTTATCCCCTCCAGGGCTAATTTCCCCCTTAGAATTTCAGGTCATGGGAGCATCCTAACTTTCCTCTGAACCCAGCACAGTCTGCTCTCTTCAGATCAATAGTATGTAGAAGACAAAGGCAGGCTTTCGTCTCCACTATCATATGTTCTAAGATAGAGCATTCGCTTTCCCCAAAATTCCCATCATTTGTACTTCTTTGTTGGCCAGTCTTGTTCTGAATAACCATTATTCTTCTTCACTCCAAGTGGCTCAGTGGATGGAGCACCGGTCTGGAGTCAGGAAGACCTCAATTCAAATTTGACCTCAGATATAAATGGGGATAATAATGGCACCTACCTCCTAGGGTCGTTGTAAGAATCCAACAAGATAACATTTGTAAAGCACTTACTACAGCGTCTAGTACCTAGTAGGTACTTGTTGAGTTGTTTTCAGTTATGCCTGATTCTTCATGACACCACTTGGGGTTTTCTTGGCAAAGAGACTGGAGTGGTTTGCCCTTTCCTTCTTCAGGTCATTTTACAGATGAAGAAGCTGGGGCAAACAGGGTTAAATGACTTGCCCAGGGTCACACGGGTAGTAAGTGTCTGAGGCTAAATTTGAACTCATGAAGATAAGTCTTCCTAACTTTAGGCCTGACACTCTATCCACTGTGCCACCTAGCTGCCCCTAGTAGGTGCTTAATGTTTATTCCTTTTCCTTGTTTCTGTTACCTTTAGCAAGATTAAATTATCACTGGGAAAAGACAAAAGTTTACCAGCTTCTCTGCTTTTGACAGAGAGAACTCCAGGCTAGTTGAAATCCATCCAAGTGACTATATCATGCCTCCATCTTTACCGACGCTCAAGTTGACAACATCAGAGTCATCCTTGACATGTTCCTCTCTTTTACCTTCCTCTCATATTAAATTGATTGTTAGGTTTTGTTGACTCTGCTTCCCCAACATCTCTCCTATCCATCTCCTCCTCTCTACCCCTATCACCACAATCCTAGTTCAGCCCCTATCACCTCTTACTGACATTAATCTAAAATCCTTCTGCTCTCTGCTTCACTCTTCGATTTATCCTTTACACACCCACCAAATCAATTTTCTTGGGATACATAAGGGACCATGTCATCCCCCCACTCAAAAATTTTCACTGTATCTTTCTTTCCTCTTACCTGCAGGCATTTAAGGACCTCCCCAACCTGACTCTCATTTCTCTTTCCAGAATTATTTAAGATTCTTCTTCTACATGAATTCTACATGTTAGCCACACTGACCTGGAGCTTTTCCCCATAAACAACCTCCTCCATATTTGTGCAAACTGCCTTCCATTCCTGGAATGCTCTCTCTCTTCACTTCTGCCTCTCAAAATCCCTAGTCTTCCTGACTGAGGCCATCCCACCAAGTCTCAATAATATCTTTCGTTGTTATTGGTGTTGTTGTTTAATTGTTCAGTCATATCCAACTCTTTGTGACCCCATTTAGGGTTTTCTTGGCAAAGATACTGGCGTGGTTTGCCATTTCCTTCTCCAGCTCATTTCACAGATGAGGAAACTGAGGCAAATAGGGTGAAGTGACTTGCCCAGCATCACAGAGTTAGTAAGTGTCTGAGGCCAGATTTTGAACTCAGGGTTTCCTAACTCCAGGCCCTGGCACTCTATCTACTGCACCACCTACCTGCCCAAGCAATAGTGTCTATGAGGCCAAATTTGCCTATTTGCTTTAGGCCCATTGGTTCACTTTGCCATGCACAATTTATACATTTGATTATACTTCTGAGGCCCTGTTTGGTTTTGATTTTGCTCAATCCTTTCTTGAATTTTGTCTTCTCTGAGTTTTGGGGCACCCCCACTGCTATTTTTCTATTTCTAACTATTTATGGCATTTAGTTTGGTGGGTATAAATTGGCACTCTTATTCTTTCTTTCTCTCTTTTCAATCAATCAATCAGTCAATCAATCAACATTTGTTTAGTGCCTTTGTGCCCTCAAGGAACTCACAAACTAACTTTTCATTTGAGAAACCTTTTGGATAAGATTTATAGCTCTTCAAGAAAGGTGCTTTTTACCAGCCTCCAAATGTCCATCATTCTTACAGGTTAAGTGGTCGTTTAGAATTCCAAATTCTATGCTTGGGCTCTATCTTCTTAAATATCTTCTAGCCTCCCGAACCCACCTTTCTGCCTCACTGTCTATCTTGTATCAAAGATGAAAGCACCACCTGGGCCTCCAAGATCTTCCATTTCTTGACCAACACTTCATAATGCCTGGCAATGCTTTCTAGGTTCTTTCTGACAGTATCTTTTGCCCATGATTAATCAGAAATGGAGCTTAGTCATGAGTTTTGACAAGTCATAGAATCACAGAATTTCTAAGTTGAAAGGTAGTTCAGTGGCTATTTGGCTGGTCCTATGGGGAAAAAAAAGGAATCCCCATTACATCTCGGATAAGTGGTCAACCAATCTCTTCTTGGAGCCCTCCTGTCAGCCTCTGTTATGTCATAGATGAATATCTCAGGAACATCAGACTTCTTTATTATTAACATTAAGTCAGGGAGCTGCCTTAGTCCCCCTCAGTAGAGATAATGAGCACAATTACACAAGGTGATGTCTAAGGCTCTATCCAGCTCTAAGATTCTATGAAAATTGTTTACCCCACAGATACCGTTTCAGAGAGTGATCAGAAATGCCTCAGTATCTGGGAATTCATCCTAGAGCATGTGGTGTTCAGGGACTCCTGGGCATTCTCTTAGTGGGAGAAAAGTTAAATGATGAAAGGATAAGGAAACTTTCCTACGGAAAATGACTTAATGTTACCATCAGGGGAAAGAGTGCTAGATTTGGATGTGGGAGAGGTGTGGGTTTGAATGTCTGCACTGATACTTCAATTCAATTTAATTCAAGCACTTATCAAGCACCTAGTACAGACCAGGCACTGTCAGGAGCTGAGATTACCAAGCCTCAAACAAAATAGTTCGTGTCTTCCAGGAGCTTACATTCTATACTTATTAGGTGTGCAACCATGGGCAAGTCACTTCATCTGTCTGAACCTTAGCTTCCACATCTGTAAAATGGGGATATCACTTGTCCTACCAACCTGACAAGATTGTCCTGCATCCTTTCCTTGTTAAGCATAAGATACTATGTATGTATAAGTTACTACTATTACTACTTGTAATAGTAATATAATATATAAGATATAATAAAATCCTTAATATAACCATAATCTATAAAGTAATACTACAAGATATAAATAATTAATAAATAATTATAAAATGTAATATAATAGAATATATCAAATATAACATTATACATATGGAATATAATATAAAAATAATCATGTAAAACTGTAATATAAGTACTTAATAAAGTATAAAATGTAATGTGTAAAATAAAATATAAATGTTTGATAGACTACTATAATATATAAAATATAATATACTTTAAATTTTAAATAAAATATAATATATAATAATTACATTAGGTAACATTTATGTAGTGTTTACTCTGCCAGGTACTATGTTAAGTGCTTTACAATTATCATCTCATTGGATCCTCACAACATCCTGGGAGGTATGTGCTCTTATTAGCTCCATTTTACAGATGAAGAAACTGAGGCAAATAGCAGTGAAGTGCCTTGGCCAGGGTTACACAGCTAATAGGTGTCTGAGGTCGGATTTGAATTCAGGTCTTCCTAATTCCAGGCCTGGCACTCTACCCACTGAGATACTTTTTGTCTAGTGTTTCATGGAAGCAGCATGGTATAACAGGAAAATTACTAAATTTGAACTCAGAAATGCTGAGCTATCCTGGCTCTGCTATCTACTTCCTGTATGACTGTAGGCAAATCATTCTCCTCTCTGAAATTGTCTCATTTCCTTTAAAATGAAAAGATTGGAATGGACAATCTGGGAGGTCACATTTAGCTCTCAACCTAAGAACTTTCAGGGCCATCCTGAACTAGTGTAGGTAGAATTTGTAATGATAAATAACGCATCTGAACAGTTTTATCTGCTTTGCTGTTTGACTAAGTCCAAATTTTTTGCAAACCTGACTCCCACTGAATAAGGCATACAATTAAATTAAAGAAACAAAAAACTGAACTGTGGAGAAGAGGGAGCCAAGATTTTAGGCACCATTTTGAAGCCACTGGAAAAAATGTGAAGCGGAAAAGAGAGGATTACATGTACTGAGAACTCTTACATTGGGGCTCTCTGTCACTTTGGGTTGGCAGAGGAGAAAATCTTGGCCAATTCCCACAATATTCAGGGAATGGGATGTTCTGGCTGCCTGTACCATCTGGTGAGTGCAAAGTTCACAAAGGACTTCCTTGTTCAGCCTTTTGGGAAAAGTTGTGTTTAAGAGGAGGGAAAAGCCCAGCATTACAGCAGTCAAGGGAATAGGATCATTGCTTTACAGCTGAAAGGGTCTTAAGAGATCATTAATGGAAGGAGAAAAAGCACAGACACTGGGTTGGATCCAGGGGTATGCTGGAGCCAGCTCCAAGAGCTGGTTGTTAAATGTTCGGTGTATTCACACTTCAGAAGTCAGCAAATGCTACAAATCAGGGCTTGATTCATTGTCTTGTCAATCATTTAGATCTAAGAAAGTGAGGGCTAAAATGTTAATAATTCTGATTAAGTTTAAAAGTATGTTACATGTATGTTTTTTTCTCTTTGGAGAGTAGGTTGTTAAATATTTAGCAACACATCCCTGACTAGATCCTATCATTGCCATTATTACTATCTACAGCTATTTACTGAGTGGCCACTGGGTGCTAGGCATTGTGCTAAGTACTGTGGAGGCCACAAAGGAGAAAAAGACATGGTCATTCACCTCAAGGAGTTCTTTCCAGACTGGAATACATCATTGGATTAGCCAGTAACAGGATGGTAGCCCTGAGGATATCCTTTTGGCCTCCAGAAGGCTGAGAGACAGCATGTGGAAATGAAGGGGACAAAACCTCTTGTGGTATCTCAGGTAAGAGTGCTCCAATCGTTGGCAAGACCCGACTTCAGATTCTACTTTTGACACTTATTAGCTCCGAACAAATCATTTTTTCTCTCAGAGTTTCTCCATCTGTAAATTGGGAATAATGTTTGCATGGAAAGTGGTTCAGAAACATTAAAATATTACATAAATGTTAGTTATCTCTTGGTTCTTCTAGAGTAGAGGTCCTTAACCTGGAGTGTGCTGACATTTTAAAAAAATATTCTGGTAACTGCATTTCACTTAATTGGTTTCCTTTGTGATCCTATGGCCACTAGATGGCGCAGTAGATAGAGCTCCAGGCCTGCAGTCAGGAAGTCTCAAATTCCTGAGTTCAAATCTGACCTCAGACACTTACTAGCTGTGTGACGCTGGGCAAGTCACTTTACGCTGTTTGCCTCAGTTTCCTCATGTAAAATGAGCTGGAGAAGCAAACGGCAAACTACTCCACTATCTTCGCAAAAAAAAAAAAAAAGCCAAATGGGGTCACGAACAGTTGGACATGACTAAAAAATGACTGAACAACAACAAAATTGTAATCCTATCCATTTTATTTTATGTTTTTAAATACTTTATTCTGAGGAGTTCATAGGCTTTACCAAAGGGTCCGTAACACACACAAAAAGGTCAAGAACCTCTGTTCCAGGGGAATGCAGCCTAAAACTGGGCTTCCTGCCCATCAGAACCATCAGCTAGTCTTGTTAAACTAATCCAGACTCAGCTTTATCTCTTGTGGTCAGCAATCACAGAAATAGTGAGGAAGCATAGCACATAACAGGGGGAGGGGGCCATATAAAGTGGATTATTTTTCATGAAACGCTCAATGTAGAAAAGCCCACTCTGAAAGAGAGATAGAGCCAAATCATCTGCCCTACCAAATAATGTCTTCTTCTAGTGGAACTAGGAATATTTGGGGGGAGGGAATAAATACGTTCACTCAGATTTTAAGTGATAAGATTGAACATCAGTTGTATTTATTAGGTTCTGAAACATACACATTCACATCCTTTTGAATACAGTACATTTGGCACAGTCATGTTTACAATGAAAATAACACTAATGAATGGCAAGAAATTCAAATTACATCCACAAAGGAGAAAATCCTGTACAAATAAAGCATCACAATACAAAAAAGTCCCTAAAACTGAATATTTTCTATGTAGCTGGAACTATTTTGCACATAATTTAAAAAGAGGTAATTTCTGAGCCTTTTGAGAGAGAGAGAGAGAGAGAGAGAGAGAGAGAGAGAGAGAG